TAGAATAGAATAGAATAGAATAGAATAGAATAGAATAGAATAGAATAGAATAGAATAGAATAGAATTCTTTATTGGCCAAGTGTGATTAGACACACAAGGAATTTGTCTCCGATGCATAAACTCCCAGTGTGCATACAAGAAACAAGTGATAAATCATGATCATAATGATAAAATACAAACAATTAGGGGTAAAGTATAGAATTTTTGGAAATCGTGGCAGGAATCAACAAAGAAGAATATTTGTAACTCAGGGTTGAAATTGTGATAGGGAGCTCCAACCTCTGTCATTTAGTGAGTTCACTAAATGGGGTTTCTTTTAACGCTTTGAATATCTTCTTGGTTTTTATTGCAGCCTGGATCCAGCAGTGATTTACTAGATCAGCTCCTCCCCTTCCATCTGTTGGCTGTATATGTTTAGCGTTCCTCAAGAGTTTCTTTATCAGCCTGCTTACCATCTCTGCTATCTCCTTTCCAAGGTCTGGAGAGGAAGGAAACAGGGAATCCAGAGCATTCATCTACTAGTTTGAGGATTACCTAAGTCCTCCTGACTCATTGGCACATCTTGATTTCATCCGAGATCAAAAATCTCTCTCGCAAGTCTTCCTGGCTGCATGTGCAATTCCCTTTACCAATTTACGTCAAGAGCTTTATTGGACGGAGAGAGTTCTGCTGCTGATTAATATCCTTCTAATCATTCTTTAAGTGCTCGTTTATGAGGGATTTTATGATCTGAGGAGGGGGCAGATTCCAAAATGGGAGACTGGAGGAGAGAATTCAGATGCTGCTGTCATAATGCTCTCAAAAACCCTTGGCATCCTCGAACATTCTCTCTAATTTTTGTGTTGGTTTTTTTTTAATCGCCCACAGCAGATTTTGAGAAGCAAAGAAGATTAAATGATATCTCGACTCTGGAATGGCACACTATTCTTGTTTCTTTTCCCTGCAAATTTTCTGTTTCCCCATCCAACAAAAATGAATGTTCCTTAATCTCACTTAAGGGGGAAAAGAATTCCAAAGAAAATCAATGAACCCTCCTTTCTCCATATGTGTGTGTGTGTGTGTGTGTGTGTGTGTGTGTGTGTGTGTTAATATGTGCACTTGAACTCCCAGAATTCCCTAGCCAGCATTGCTGGCTGGAGATTTCTGGAAGGTAAAATATGTGTGTGTGTGTGTGTACATAGATAGATTAGATAGATATGAATGAATAGATAGATAGATAGATAGATAGATAGATAGATAGATAGATAGATAGAT